ACTGGGCTCTACTGCACTTGATTTTTTCGTTGGCAAAACTTTCAAATTCTTTCAAGCAACCGGTAAAAGGCAGGACCACGGACACGGACAGCTTCAGGATGAAAGTTGCCCTTTGAGGTGCTGAGAAATATTCACCCCCCACCACCACCACCATCCCTGTGCCGTGCCCACTCTCCCTCAGAGTGGGGCGGCTGTTTCTTGCCCCGGTATGGAAAAGATCTGCGTGATTTCAGAGCTGTCCAAGCCGCCAGCAGGAGGAGCTGTCGGACAGCCTAGCAAAAAAAAACAAACACAAATTTTGGCGAGCTAAGGTCCGGGCCTGGCGGCGTCCTTCCAACCCCCCGGGAGGGAGGCGCTGCTCAGAGGGTGGTGGTGCGCGAGTTGCAGGTGCCGTTGTGGTAGACCATCTCCGAGGCCAGCGGCTCCTTGGGGGACGCCCGGGGCCCGCAGGGGACCGGCCGGCGCAGCGCCACGGCGCAGTAGTCCACCTGCTCGGCGTCCAGCCGGCTGTCCATCCAGCGCAGGCACACCAGGCGCTGGAAGGAGCGGCGGAAGTTGTCGGAGACGAAGCCGTAGAGGATGGGGTTGGCGCCGCTGTTGGCGTAGCTGAGGACCACGAAGAGCTGGTTGACCACGGGGTCCGGCGGCCGGCGGAAGACGCTGAGCAGCTGGGCGACGTAGAAGGGCAGCCAGCAGGCCACGAAGACGGTCACCACCAGCAGCACCATGCGGGTGATCTTCTTCTCCGAGCGGCGCCGCTGCAGCCAGCCGGCCCTCAGCGCCACGGCCCGCATCTTGGCCACGATCAGGCAGTAGCACAGGCAGATGGCCGCCACGGGCAGCAGGAAGCCCAGCAGGAAGGTGTACACCACGAAGGCCTCCGACCAGGACGGCTCGGGCCACAGGAAGTTGCACTCCACCCCGCCGTCGCCCCGCGGCACGGTGCCGGCGAAGACGATGATGGGCAGGATGACCACCAGCGAGAGCGCCCACACGCAGACGTTGATGGCCTTGGCCACGGTGGGCCGGCGGTAGCGGGCGGCGCGGATGGGGTGGGCCACGGCGATGTAGCGGTCCACGCTCAGCACCGTCAGGCAGAAGACGCTGGTGAACATGTTGATGCCGTCCACGCTGAGCACCAGCCTGCAGGCCAGCGCGCCGAAGGGCCAGCGGCGCAGGGCGGCCGCCGTGGCCAGGAAGGGCACGCTCAGCATGAAGAGCTCGTCCGCGATGGCCAGGTTCAGGATGTAGATGTTGGTGGCCGTCTTCATCTTGGCGTACTTGAGGATGACGTAGATGACCATGGCGTTGCCCGTCAACCCCACGCAGCACACCAGGGCGTAGATGGAGGGGATGACGATCTTGCTCACGTCCTGCTCCGGCTCCCCGTAGCCCAGGGAGGCGTTGAACGGGGGGTCCGAGGGGGGCTCCGTCGTCCCGTTGCCCGCCGCCATCCCTGCCCTTCGGGGGACGCCCCGGCCCCGGTGCTCAGTCAGCGCCTGCGCGAATCGCCCGGCATCCTCCTCCGAAACGGCACCGAAGATCTGCGAGCGCTGCTCTCCCGGGGGGGGGCTCGATCCAGCCTGGACCGGGCCCGGGAGGCGTGCTTCAGGTGTGGCCTCTGCCGAAGTCCAGTCCAGGCGCTGTGGGATTAGAGCAGGTCCGGGTGAGTCCGCACAGCTCGACGCAGGAGCCCCAGGTTTATCTCACAAGCTCGAGGAGGGCACCCTGGCAGAGATCACACATGCCTCTGATATCACAGGCACAACAGAAGGCACAGGTGATGTTTGGCACAGGTGTGTCTAATGACCATTGACACCGTTGGCACAGGCGGCACAGGTGTCTGTAACAACACAGGTAGAACAGATGGCGCAGGTGGCACAGGTGTGTCTAATGACCATTGACACAGGTGACACAGGTGTGTCTAACGATACAGACAGAACAGATGGCGCAGGTGACACAGGTGTGTCTAATGATACAGACAGAACAGATGGTACAGGTGGCACAGGCGGCACAAGTCCGACCTCTGTGCGTCTCTCTCTCCTGCTCTGCGGAGAGTCTGGCCGTAGGGCTGGGTTCCTGGCGCGCCGATCCTAAAGGACAAAGAGAAGAGCAGAGGTCAAGCACCACCTCCGCTCGGAGATGGTTTCCGTGAGATAGGACTGGACGTCTCCAGGGCCTGGGGGGTGGCACAGTAGAATTCAATCTGGGACCGAGTTCTGTTTTGATTCGCACGCGTGCGCTTGAGGGCTCCGGTCAGCGATCGGTTAAAGACGCTGAGTGACTCAAAACGACTCCCAGGCGTTGGGACAGCAGACGACACCGCCGGGGGGCTGTGAGCTCCAGTAAGTGGGCATTCTCGCAGGCGGGCACGCCAGGCCCTGAGACTCTCGATCAAAGACGAGCGCACAGCCCTGCAGGGACAGCAGGCAGCAAGACGGAGGCAGCAAGCGATGTGTAATACAGTCCTACAGACACAGCAGACGCACATATTCATTTCAACCGTAGTTTAGAGGTTTACACAACGGATGTATTAGTCATTCATTCGGGGCTGCTTTTGTCCCAAGCTACTGGTTTTCCTGCTCATTTATCCAGATATGCATCTTCCCGAAGCAGTCCAGGTGAAATACCTGGTCTTAACGGTACTGCAGCTGTGCCCCCCCACCTCGGATTTGAACCTGCAACCTCCCAGTTCCGGATCTGGAGCCCTGACTTGCCTCCGATACAGATACAGATATAGTGCCTCACGCTGCAAGGAGGGGCTGTCCAGCCCACGGATTTTCCCACAGGCGGCCCGGTAACGGACAGATCGGGATGAGACTGACTCGGATTGGATTGAGAGATCCTTGGGGGGGGGACGGAATTTTCCCTGGGAACGCGAGCCGACCGGCGGCGATCCGGCCCCTCTGAGAACACGGAGCAGGGGCCAACACACGGGCAGGGAGAGGAGCCGGGCGTGGAGAGCCGTGTGGGAACTGCGCTGGGACGAGGGGGGAGCGGGAAGACACCAGGACAGGGGGGAGGCCGGGGGAAAGACGTCCATCAGGAAACGCAAAGGGACAGCAGAGTACACATCAACAGCCAGACAGA